GTTTTGGGATGGTCGTTGACACCTCTGAACAGTGTAACAAGATTACCCCTACATATGCAACATATTTAAATTTGATATATTGAAGATAATATTTGGTAATCGTAGTCCTAAATAACTATTAAAAATAGCTAGACGTTTCGAGCAATGGCTCTTTATAGATAGCATAGAAGCAAGTGTGATAACGTAGAGGTAGGTTTTTTTTTTTTTTTTTTTATATTTAAATTTGGTTGTTTAGGATTTCTTCAAAGTTTAGGTCATGCTGTTTTCTCAATTTAGTCATTTTCACCGGCTTTTCGACCGGTACTTCGCAGCAGCTCGCGCAGAGCCCATAGAAATACATGGCAGAGTGGAGCGCGTGGGGCATCTCGTGATGAATTTGATAGCTTGGCCAAGCGCGTTGAAGAAAGAAGCAATATGATTGGCTGTTGGTAAATTAATTCTAAACTGTGAGGGCATTGTCACATACACATATTCCTAATGAAATACTTCAAGGTGATAGCGGAGTGCTTCGCCGGAACATTCACCGTGAAAATTCAAGATGCCATAAATGGCAGCAACTAATTTCAAACCTGGGATTATTTGAAAAAATAATGCACAGAAAAAGGTGAATTGAACACCAGGAAAACATTTCGTAGACAGAACAAGTCTGTTAACTTGTGAAATTCTAATATGTTTAGATGGAACAGATCTGATAACTTGTAAAATATTTTTTTTACACAGAACAAGTCTGTTAACTTGTTAAAAAAATGTTTGACTCAGTCTACTAATATTATTTAAAAAAAAAGATATTTGACATTATTTATTTGTTTTTTTGTTACAGAGAAATGTGATGGACTCTTTAATTAATGACAGCGTCAACCAAGAAAGAATGCGGCAATATAACGAGTAGGTTAAATGAATATTTATACTTTTTATCAACAGACCTTACAACAGAAAAGACAAAGTAATAAAGGAATACAACTGTAGAGGGCGCCATAAATAAATGTTATTGTTTGAAACAATGTGCCTGTTTGATTAAGCAAAATTGGGACTGGGTAACTTTCTTATTAATAGAAATTAATTGTTTAGACAATACAATTTTATGACCCTAACAGGGATTTTATGAACTGTTTTGAAGTAAGTCAAATTTAACTGTTATGAAATGAGCATGTACAATGTGCAGTGAGTTACACATATTTCAATTTCTCTATATTACAGAGTTTTACTTCTACCTGCCATGCTAGAACAAGGTTGGTGTGAGCTGATACCAACGCTTTTACAGGTACCGGAACATGACGGTAGAGAGAAAGTACTGCAAGCGATGGAAATAATGCTGGACTCATGTAGGAAAGAGTACACAAATCAATCTCTTATTGAACAGTTAAGAACATTACAAAGCGAATATGAGAAACTAGCGATGGAAGAAGTGACAGAAAATAGTGATGATTTTTATTTTACTGGTATTAAGGACCTGATTGTGAACGTTTTAGATGAACTACATATGCATGGACATTCGGAACTTTAAGATAGATGCCAAGTGTGGTGGTGAACCAACTCACTTATTTGCACCAGTATGTGTAATTGTCTCATGATTTCATGTGAAAACTTTGATCTGTATCACATGTCGCCATAGTTACATATTTTTTTTTATTATTATAGATGAACATCTGAGCTGAAATCTTTTATTTTGATGGAATTTGAAATTCACTTGTACTTGTCTAATAATCCAGACGTTTTTAACAGTGTACATACTTATGGATATGTAATCACATTCTAAATGCGCATATATTACTTCTTCTGACTACATTTTGTCAAGTGTCAAACATGGAAATGTCAATTTAATTATAGATATATTAGGTTATTTTATTATTTTAATTTTTTCATGCATACAAAATCATCACATTTTTGTTCTATTTATTTATTTCAACTTTTTGATATGATGGGATTTTTGTGTTTTTTTTTTTTTAAGAAAATAGAAAACAATTTAATTGATTAAACAATAAAAGAGAGCGGATTCAGTCTTTGGCGGCAGTCCATTGATATATTTTGATTGTATATATTTCATGGAAGTAATAAACTTATTGTTTTTGTATGTAAATTTATAATATATTATATTATGAAGAATATTTCTGGTCTCTATGGCTCCTTGCTGAGTTGTGGGAGTATGGAACATCCAGTAGCCTGAAAAACCACAAAATACGCTTTCTGTTGTATAAAGTAGACATTTCTCAAGTACTAGCATTAACTCTTGAACAGCGCCCTCGTGAAATACTAATATTGCCTATAGATGGCAGTATACTGAGAGATTCATGTTACGTTAGAACCCCGGGTTAAGATCCTTGCCCTCACTATCAGGTTTCTCTGGGAATTTTCATGTTAGCTCTAAAATATACGATCTAACAGATTTCGCCCTTTAGACAAACCTTACTAAGGTTAAACCACATGGGCCTTGTTACTATATACAAGGCAGACAGGAAGCACTTAATGTGGCGGGATGACACTCTTTCTGACCAGTGACGTCACGAAGTCAGATTCGATGACATTTAATAGTAAATAGACGTTTACATTCGAGAATATAGCACATAATATAATTAATAAAGCGCTATTTTAATTCTTGAAAACCACTGATGTAGCTCAATTTGAAGGGGAAAACACAAATTTGCCGATTTACAACATTGATGGCGCCCTAATTAGATTGAATTATGGGCGTGTCCGAAGCGCGCAAGAGTTTAACAAATAGTTAGAATAGCTACCGGGAATGCTCCCAGTTCGATCAACCCTATTAAAAATTATTTTAAAATACTTTCGTTCCTATTCCAACTAAACATAAGTCCTCAACATTCTGTCATTACGCAAAACGGATAATTTATATTTACTATTTTAAAATGTCGCGTTCTTCAAGTTTGTTTAAGTTTGTGACCTGTTTAGCAGGCCATCACATGAAAATGGTGTTTTATTAATAATATTATTTAGTAAAATTGCATCTTCACAATTCAATTGAAGCAGACCATGAAAAAATGTTACCATAACACCGGGCATGCAAGTTTAAATTTTACCATTCGGACTGGAATTTTACCCGCCGGGCGTATCGTAACGGGCCCGGTGGGCAGTGGACAGGCGGGAGCGCTGCTGCCATGCCACACCAGCTGCCTCCGTCTGTTTTCTTCACTACCGAAAAATAGAGCGAAGCGGAGAAAACAAACAGAGCCAGCTGAGTACTACTGTGCCAACAGTCGCATATTCCTTGCTACAAGTTGTTTTATTCGGGTGGCAAATAAAGTGAAATATTATAGTACCGGGTAATTTAAAGCGCAGTGGTCGTCGCGCAGCGCGTGTTCGAATTTCATGTAAATATACCCAATGTATTTTACACGCGTTGTATACGTCGCTATGAGTCCCATATCGAACAGGACGCGGCACGACGACTGCCGCCCTTTAAAATACTCTGTCTCTTACAATCTGCACCGACTCGGACCCACTGTTTAGGTAGAGAGCTGTATTTCCTTCATTTCTGCATAAATAAAACGAAGTACACTGAAAATTGGCGTACATCTCCTATTGAAATAAACATTTTTCTGGTCTTTCCATAGCAGGGAAATATCTGGAATGTCTTACAATTTATAAGCCTATACATTTGTAGGAAGCAAAGCGCCTGATTTTTTTTTTTTTTTTTTTTTTGCGCGTTGTGTTTGTTTTTAGGGTCGCGTGACTTAAAATAAATCAACAAGACGAAACGTTGCCATAAAATGAAGGAGTGAATTTCCATTTGCATTTGTGTTTTTGGATGATTTCAGAAAAAATATAGGTGTTTGTAAACCCTTCTTGTGTAGTACTTATATACACAATATACTACTGGTAAACACATATTTATACTCTTATTATAAGAGAAGAAAAACGGGCATCAGAGAAAACATTTTTAATAACATATATATAACAGTACATGTTTTTTTATTTAATTTTCGAAAAAAAAACTATCCTGCCAGCCAAGGTTCATTTAATCGGCCATCGCATCGTTTGTAGGGTCATGAATCGGACGATGACTTAAGCATAACAAATTGACATTTCACTAGGTATTTAATTCCATTCATAACCTGTTGTTAAAAAACACGTTTTTAGATCCACTATAATATGGGGTACCATTTGTGCATGTTGCTTATATCGGTGAAGCTCAGCACATTTTCACACAGGGTAGATACACTCACAGGCAATATATGTTAATTTCATTATACGTGCTATCGACAGAAAACAACAAGTCGATAGCATGTACAAGACCTTAGCAAAGATTTCGATTCGGTCTCGCACTCCCTCCTTGCCCACAGGCTTTGCTCGTATGGTTTCAACGACAATTCACACTGTCGTGGCTGGGGTCGTACTTGAACAACACGTATCAAAATGTGGGTATCAATGGTTACACATCACTATCCTGCAAAGTTCGATCCGGGGTCTCACATGGTTCCCTCGTCTGCGTTCATATGTCAATGACCTCGACGATGTTTTGTCACAATTTAGTATGCTCAATGTATGCAGATGATGCCAAATATCACACAATGACATCTTTATCTTTATCTTTATCTTTATCTTTATCTTTTCCTTTATCTTTATCTCCTCAGACGGATATTTAAGTCATGCGATTCCAAGAAACTAAATATTGCCAAAAGTAGGGTAATATCTTGTACAAATATTACAATTACGTTCTCACGGATGAGTGTCGTATTATGAACTTTTTCTGAACACATTACAACCATTGTAATTCATGTCTTCATAGCTTATAAGACGTACATATATTGCTACAATTATTAGTTTATACGTAAGTTAAGTTCGTAGTCAATTGGAACATTGTAATATCATTTGGTAACCTTGGCAATCTACTTAAACTGTCAACATTGAGCGTGTGTAGCGTGATTTTTTCAACTATTTGTATATTAAGACCAAAGTTTCTTATTCTCCCAGTAAGTATCATTTCATATGTAGCCATTATGAATTATCGATATCAAATTCTAGGCGTCAGTTATTTATAAAATTCCTTCCTTAAATTGTGTTTAACGTTCCATATAGCCGTTAGCGAAATATTGATGTTTTCAGAGTTGAAATTAGTCGAACCATGGAACTATAAACCCGAGGAATTGTGTCTAAGAGTTTATGCCCAGAATGAATTATCAACTACTACGCTGTCGACGTCCAATCTAAGTCTACTATAACGACACGCAATCTCTTCACATCGACAGATAACAATACTCCCCCCCCCCCTCTAGCTTTCACGCCCGCCAGTCCCCTTACTAGTAAAAGTGAACGCGTTGGCATAGATATGCAAAACAGGACGCTCTCCTCTGTTGAAGGTCACCCATTCATTCATAACCGTACTACTTGTTTATACCGTCATGGAAAACATGGAACAGCACTCACCACCGCCAGAATATGCCCAGGTTGCTTTAGAAAGCGACCTTAACAATGTACACTCCGATGACAGCAAAGAACAGGTTCGTAAAAACATTAGCAGACCAACGTTTTTTAGTTGGTACACAGTCCCTTGATAGAGGAACTGTGGTTGGTAGTAATCATGTAATCGCGTATGTTGGAATTTGTCGGCTTTGTTTTAATTCTGTGTTATAGTCAATTTAACTATGTAGTGATTTTTGCCGACAGTTGTGGTTGTACACATAGGCGTTGTACGTCCATGCGGATTGATGTTGCATTCGTGACAGCGAAGCTAGTAAATAGCCCTGAGTACAGTCCTGCGGGTTGGCAAAGGACACGAGGCCGACCCACATGACTGTACTCAGTCAGGGTTAGTAGGACCTAGCCTGCAGTGCAAGGTCAACCCTGGCCGGTTGAGCCATGTGCGTTACTGCGTTACATATCAGCGTTAAAGCCACAAGGCGTGTGCCACTCCCACTACAGTGCGGAAAGTGTTATACTGATAATATCGATATGCTTGATATGAACGAATCGGCTGACGAATATATCAAAATCAATGCCCATCAACACAGACGCCGGGCATAGGCGATTGCGTATAATCGAACCCGGAAGAAAACGTGAGTTGAGACGTCTCGGCTTCCAAAGTTTAATGAGAGGCTTGGATGGTCTTATGAATACTCATTAAATACACCCATTGTATATTTCATCGAACGAGGAGAGAAACAAACTTAGTCAAAATTGCCCAATTACATGTAATAATAATATCACAACAATGCATCGAACGAATATTAGTCTCTTCTATTTCCGCATAAATTATTACAGGAAGGCTTCGAAATGAAAACTCTCGATAAGTCAACTGATAAACCAACGGTGATGACATCTGATAACGAGGAATACACGGCAGTTAACATCGAAGAGGAAGACGAGGAAGTCGAAAACGAGGAGAACCACCCGAATTATCCTAGTAATTGTCTTACGAGAGTAAGTTATTTCAAACCCATTTAGATACGATTTCTTTGGGTCGAATAGCTCTGCTTTATGTGGCTGCTTAGAAGCCTCGACTGCGATTTGTAATTCGAACTACTTTTTGTAGCTGAAGCAGACGGGTGCAAGGTTTTCGGTTTAAATAGGGGCAAACCTTTACAATAACGTAATTGGTGTAAATTACATGCATTCGAGTATATAAGTAACAACAGTTTAGATATTAGGTACATGGACGCACGATGAACCCCAACTAAATCCACCACTAGCTGATATGTTTTATGATTTTATCTTGTACAGAAAATAGACCAGTTTGATCGTTACGTGAGCAGGTTGTGTCGACACCACAAAAACTACATCATGTATATGATCTACGGAGTTTTACTGGCTGGTTATATTATATATTTCGCAATCGCGTTGACGAAAGATTTCCACCGAGCGTTGGCGCTGTTCATCATGACTGTGTTTGCGGTCATGCTGGTTACTTACAGACTAGTCGGCAAGTACTGGGGTGACCTCATATGCAGTCGTATACGTGATCCGTGTATGATGTACATTAGGAAACACTGGGTGGTTCTGAAGTGGTGGGTATAATTTTTTTTACCATTTATTAATATTAAGGAGGTTAAGAAAGCAACAACGGTTAATAACTGCAACAACCACTCACCATGGAGCTGCGTTCAAGTTTGCGCATTTTGAAAGTTAACTTGAATCTGTATTGAATGAACTGGCCCCGGAGGGGCTACTTCCACATTAAGTGGGTAAGGGTGTGCAGCCCACCTCTTGTAAACCATACTAACTTCTAAACCATTTTTTTCTAGACCTGGAATCGGACACAACATACTTACTCAGTAATTCCGAAATAATACAATGTGATCATTAATTTCACATGTTTTAGTGATATCTTCATATTATTATGTACATTTTTATATACTAGAACTGTTTCGTTTCAGGGTTGTTCATGTACTCTTATTGGTAGCTCTCGTTGCATTTGCAGCTGCTATGGGCGTATTTCATTCAATCATAAATAATCCTCAGCAGTTGGTATCGGCTTTCGGTATCGTCGTATTCATTTTGTTCAGTTTATTGTGTTCAAAACGACCGGGATGGGTAAGTTTCATTATTATATGATGTCAGTGGAACGACCGAACAAACAAATACTAGTATTTATCTAAACCATTGTATTTCTTCAGTTTTTTATCCGGTTGCTTAAATTTGTGTATTTCTTTTAACGAAGGTTAACTGGCGGACAGTTTTCTGGGGCCTCGGTCTTCAGTTTTGCCTCGGAGTAATAATACTACGCACCAGCGTTGGATTTGATGCGTTCCTCGGCTTAGGCAAAGAAGTTCAGACCTTTCTTAGTTATGCAGATGTTGGGGCTGAATTCGTATTCAGCGCCCCTCTCGAAGTACATTTTTTCGTTTTTAAGGTATAATGTAATCTTTACATCCATATGTACTTGAATTGCAGGTGACGACTCACCGCTTTAACTGTTTTTTTTGTGTGTGCAGTTTTAGGTAATTTAAGTAATTTGCGAAACTGGCCTATTTTATCCCGAGTCAACGTACAAGGAGTCTTGTTAACTATCATCATTTCATCGTTTCATTTAGCGTTTGGTTCTTGTTTATGGTCATTCTTGTAACTGCCAATTTCTGCTTCTGTCCTGTAGGTTTTACCTGTTATAATCTTTTTCAGTTATATTTTGGCTATGCTATATTATCTTGGCGTCATGCAATGGATTACTGAAAGATTTGCCTGGGTCATGCAGTACACAATGGAGACTTCCGGAACGGAATCGTTGTGCGCAGCCGCAAATGTGTTCACAGGCATGGTGAGTCAACCATTATTCGAAGCATAAATTAAAAACTGCTATAATAAAAAAAAAAAACTTTTCGTATAGTGAGAATGAAATTTATCGACAGGTGTGAAAATATCATCTTGTCAGCAACTTGAGTATCATTTCATCATCACACGAACAAATTACAAACGCAAACAAGATACAAAACCTGGTCATCTCTCATTTTACTTCCTAAAGGTGTTTATCAGAAAATTGAATCATTAACTAGGCAACTCGATGTTTTTAAATATAACAATAATGCTCAATTTTGGTTTATCTTCGACATATTCAGTTTTCAACAAACCTGATCCTCGTTTTTACGCCCGATTACGATTAACGGATTAGCAACAATCCATTGATGTAAGCAATCCAATATTGATATACTGTATATATTGAATGTTCCAATGTATGGCGCCAAATCAATACTTGAGATTTGAAATTTATATATCTTATATATTTAATTCAAAAAATGCTTGATGAAGTGATTGTACCGATTTTACATTATGGAAAAAGAGTTTGAATACTTTTTTTCATCAGACAATTTGGCCAGTTAAATTTATCAAAATTATTATTGCGAATGACAGATGCCCTTACGAAAAAGTCTGTTTATTGTTTCGCTAACATTCTCTGGAAGTTCATATAAAATATTGCTTCAAAAAGTGACATTAATCAATTATCACGTCATTTGAATGTAAATACAAAATATTTTTGAAATTTTGGTCACACAATCCTAATCTTAATCGTAAAGGGCGGTGATCGATATATGACACATAGTGGCCTACGCGATGCGTGTGAAAACATTGCCTGAAAAAATTAAATGTACACACACGCTGCGCGACGACCACCGCCGTTTACTAGTAGGAAGTCAAAATAATGTAGTTTATAAAGTTCGTACAATATTGATAACCATGGTGTTGCGACCCCCAAAAACCTGGGAAATATCACGAATACGGATGAAAAAGACGCGAAAAGGAAGTCCCAGATGTACAAACTGTTTCTAAAAATATTGTTTTTATAAATATATGAAAACTATCGAAATCTGACAAATAATACATTACAGAAATTCATTAACATATCAGGGGTAAATCTCTCTTTCTGGGGTTCTCCACACTTGTCAGGGGGGAATCTCGTCTCGTCTCCATATCTCGTCCCCTTGAGGTACGGGATCGGGAAAGTCACTTTAACTTTACAGTCAAATAAGACACACACAACGAAATACGTTTCAGCTCTCGTCTTAGTCGATCTTTTGGAGCACTCTATAAGACACAGCGCCCTGGGGAAAAGTCCCCAAGACTCTCCAGGACTGGATTCGTCTCTCCAGGACTGCACTCTCTCTATTGCGTCTGTCGTGGAGTATTCGCCAAGACCAACTCAAACTCTCTTTATTCATTTTCAAA